CAATAAATGTTTTGTGCTAAATCAGTGAATAATTTTTATAATAAAATCTATAGACATTTATTTACAGCATGGTTCTTAACTATCGGAAATTCTGTACCCTAAGGAACATTTGACAACACCTAGAGGTGTTTTTGTTTACCACAACTGGTATGTATGTGTTGAGGAAGGAACTACTGGTATATAGAATATATATATATATAATAGCAGGATATCAGGCCAGGGATACTGCTAAACACCCTACAATGCAAGAACAACTTCCCCAAACAAATAATTATCTGGCCAAATATGTCAAAAGTACTGACATTAAAGATAACCCTGATTTACTTTAACATCTTATCAATCTGCAACTTTAACTATTAAACAGCCTTACTTTCTTTGAGTTCACTAAAAAAAACAAGAGAAGTGGCAAAAAGTACAAAACAAAACAAAAAAACAAACTGCAGGTTGAAATACATTGCTATGAAGCATATCTTGCGTGTCAGGCACTACACAAAGACTTCAACTCTAAGGACAAAACATCTCTAAGTAAAGAAATCATCCCATGATTTGCCTTGCTAGTTAGTCAGAGATGGGCTGCAAGACTCCATCTGTTTGATCTAATGCTCATGCTTTTCCCATTACATCATTAAGCAGCCCAAAGAAATTTTAATCTAGTCTAAAGTTCACAAATGTTATTCATGGGACAGCCTCTCTGACCTCATCTCAGAGTACAATCCCTTTTAGTGTAGACAATTACTAATAAGGTTGGCTATCTGGTTGTTAAATCCATAGATGATTTAAGATTATAAATAAAAAAGCTGCTACTAACTGGCATCACAGCCAAAGGAAAATATGAAAATTATTTTGTTTAAAAAAAAATACAAAATACACACAAAAAATGTGTAGTGCCTTCATTATAGAAATCACTGTATTCTCTATAGTGGCTCAGTGATAGAGAACTTGCCTAGCATGTGCAAGACCCTGGGTTGAATCCCCAACACTGCAAACAACCAAACAAAACATAAAGTGGCACAATGCACTAAGGTAAAAAGAAAAAAAACTGAGAAAGGAGGGTGCAGTCAGAGAAGAAAGAGAAATGGGATAGAGAATGGTGAAGAAGGGGAGACAGAAAATGAAATGAGTTAGAGAAGAAAGAGAAATGGGATAGAGAATGGTGAAGAAGGGCAGAGAGAAAATGAAATGAGTTAAAAAGAAATTGAGAGAATAAAAAGGAAAAAGGGAGCTGGGTATAGGGGTGAACACCTGTAATCCCAGCTACTTAGGAGGCTGAGGCAGGAGAATCAGCATCACAAATTTGAGGCCCAGTCTGGGCCTGTCTCAAAATAAAAAAATTAAAAGGACTGGGGAGTGTAGCTCAGTGGTAAAGTGTCCCTGCAATCTCCAATACTGGGTGCAAGATTGGGGCGGGGACTGGATTGTAGACTTAGTAGTCATTTTTTTTTCTGAACAATATTTTTTATATCAAGCATAAATTTTTATTATTAAAATACATTTTATAATTTAAAAATACATGACATCCAGGTGTGGTGAGGTGTACTTAAGAGTCCCAGCAACTCAGGAGCCTGAGGTAGGAGATCACTTGAGCCCTGGAGCTCAACACCAATTTAAACAACATAGTGAAACTCCATCTCAAAACAAAAACCACATGAAAAAAATCCATGAGAAGAAATGGAGAAAAACACTCACATTAAGTGAATATACAAGAACTTTTTAATGATGATTAGGAAACATCTAGTGCTAGGATGGTAAGGAACAAACAATTTTATATGGTAATAATAAAGATTCAAATTACTTACCTTAGTAAAGTTATTCAGATGGCCTAGCTTTCTCATATTTGATACTCCTTGCAATTTGGCCACATTTTGGAGTATTTCCCTTAAGTTATCAGAAGGTTCTAGAAAAAAAGGACAATTTAACATAATTTTATAAATATTTTTCTCATCAAACATCAAGACACGCAGTATTAAAACTTCACAAAGTTTGCTCAAAATAAATTCACTTAGTAGACTTGAAATACCATAGCATGTGCAAGACCCTTCTTTGAATCCCCCAAATAACATCAATTATCTTCACATTTCTATTCTGTTCTTACCTAATATCCAATTCTGTACATCACCTGGAATTATGCAGCCAAAAAATCATAAATCTCAACACAGTAGTCTTTCTTGCTACTATGTGGCAAAAGGGACCAAATATGCTGTTCTGTTTGGATCAATCAAAAGATATTAGCCATCAAGCAGCCCAGAACAATGATTTCCAAAAAAAAA